TACGGAGTATTTGTTAAGAAGAGGTTCTATGGTAGATCTAAGTTTCACATGGACCTTCTCACATATTTTTTTCATTTTTAAAATACTTTTTGCAACACTTGAGGGTCTTCAAACTTTTTCTCTCTGTCACGTCAGCTTTAACTTACACCAAAAATTCACTGAAAATGGGTTTGAAGCCCCGGGGCTTCAAACCGGGGCTTCAAACCTTCATTTTTTACATTTTTAAATATACATCTTCTAAATTTAAATTAATAAATTTAAATTAATTTATTATTTAAATTAATCGCAATGAGACTAGTGCATTAAAAAAATTACATTCATTAAAAAAATATTACATTCATAAAAAAATACATTCATAAAAAAATTACATTCATTAAAAAAACTACATTCATAAAAAATACATTCATAAAAAAATTACATTCATTAAAAAAATATTACATTAAAAAACAACACTACAAAGAAATCACTAATTACATTCATTAAACAAATATTACATAAAAAAACAACACTACAGAGAGCTCTTTTTTCATCGTCGGATGAAGATGATCTCATTTTAAAATATATTTTTTAAATATTTTTTAATAAATAATAAATATTTTAGAGAGAAGATAGAGAGAGATGTGTGAGAGAATGATTTTTTAGGGGAATTTATAGGTTTTTTAAATAAATAATAAATATATTTGGGGGGGGGGGGGTAACGGGCGCTGAAGCCGCGTCAAACAAATGACGTGCTGCGGGTGACGCTGGGGTAACACCGCTGGGGGGCGGTGTTTAACGCTTCCCGGGGCTTGAAAATGACCCTCACGCCGAGTGGCGTTATGGGTATACCCAATGGCCTTAGATGCATGTAATAATTGCCTTTGTTAAGATACTACCGTATGTGACCTTCTAATTAAATTTGTTCAAATTTTCTTAAAATTATTATCGAATTACGGAGTATATTTTTATCACATTATTATCAATTCATTTTTTTGTGAATTTACTACAATTGGTTGGTTTTGTTTTAAGGAAAAATTATCTCAAATAATCTCACCTTTTCACGCTCTTTCAAAAATAATCCTACTTTTCACTCTCACCGGAAATAATCACACCTTTCCGCACGTATGCGAGTTTTGGATCACCGTTAAAAAACTAACGGTCACTTAACAGAATTTTCGAAAAATGCCCATTTTTCACAAATAAATGAAAGGTGGGATTATTTCAGGAAATTTCTCTCTTTTTCATAATTTTAATTTCAAATTTTAAATTTAAATGTATTTTTATTTTTATTTTTTCAAAAAATAATACCAAATTTAAATATTTTTAGAGTGAAACTAATTATTTTTCAATATTCGATAATCTGGTAATAATTAGAAAATAAAGTATTCTACACAATAGAGCTAATTTATTTACTTCATAACTAACTACATTTTTTGTAAGTTGCATTTATTTTTCTTGAGTGATACTTCAAATTGTTTTTTGATACTATATTATTATTATTATTATTATTATTTCTTTTAAAAAAAATGCACTACAAAACTTATGAATATTTTTCGATAGTTCTATATAACCGTTTTTCTCTGAAATGAAACTTTTATTTTTATAATTCACTACATTTTTTGATGTATTTCAATTTTTTCATGCATTGCAATCAATTTGTAAAACATTTTGAACATAAAATTTTAAGAACATATTTTAGTTATTATTACCACAAAGTTTTAAGAATAAAATTAACTTGCATATTTAATGACAACATCAATATTCTTCACATTAAAAAATAGCATAATTACTTCTCTGAAAACAATTGATCAATGAAAAAAACAACAGAAAATATAAGATCACTTTAGGAGAAAAGGAATAGTCACTGCCTTTTTGTTAATTTATAACACAACTATTGCCCATATTATTTTTTT